TTTTTTATTGCAAATTAGTCCATACAGGTCTTGTTAAAAGGGTCAAGCTTCAGAGGAAAAGCACAAGTCACGAAAACAGATCACTGGAGGAATGTATGTAAGTACTCCAAGCAATGAAAGAGAATGATGCTCTCGCTTGCTAGTGGGAAATGTCAAAGAAAAAGAATCAGCATCACAGTGGAAGTTATTTCTCTTGGATAAAAGAGCAGCAAAGCAGCTAAGTGCTTGTTCAGAGAGGAGTAGGAACGTAGAACTGCTTTTTTCACCTTTAAATACCTAAGATGGCAATTTTATTTCTTCTGCACAGGTTTCTATAGACCAGCAAAAAAATATTGTTACTCTTCACACTCTATACAGAAGCAACTTTTGACTTCTGATCTCCACTCTGTAACTTAGTAATTTTTGTTCTTAAAAAAAGTGTGGGAACATGCATCCACTTTCCTACATACACTTTACTGGCTGAATAACACTGTCTGCTAAAATCCAAGAAAAATAAGCCAAAAAAATCTCTGCATTGCTATGGCACATAATAAAAAATAACAAAGCCTCTGTTTTCCTGTCATCTTAGGTATTTTTACATTGCTCATTAGAAATTAATGGTCTTAATGCCATAAATTCCAGAGCCCAAGGTTAATCTGGTTGCATAAATGTATGATGATTGCTATTTTAGAACTTCTACTGATTTCTGGCGCAGGAATGGCAGATATTATCCAATTTTTTATGATTATATTTGCGGTCAATATAAAAAATATTTGCTAACATGGCTCTTGAACTTTTTAAAAGCGATTATTGTTTTTGCTCAGATGTAAACGCGTTTACAGCCAAAGGAATCAGTGAACATACGTAAAGGGCACATGGCAGAACTCTCTACTCTGGAAATCCATCCCTCTTTCTGCCAGCAGCATTAAGAGAATGCTGCCACCATTTTCTGCTTCTATATCACTGGGAGACCTCCCAGTCTCAGTGAGGTTGTGATGACCCCAGGAATGGAAATTGTTTGCTTTCATGCATTCATTTTGATGCTGGATTGATTTATTTTCATGTAAAACTACAGTAGTAATATGCTTGAGTTGCATAAATCTGGAAGCCATGTATATTTTCATTTATACATAATCACATTTTAATGACAACTGTGATAGGTATGTATGTGAGATTGGTAAGTGTGGCATTTTGCAGTGTCATCTTTCTGAAGATATATTTTCTTGTTAAATTATTTCATTTATATCAAGCCCTCTGAGCTTACTGTGACCTCACTTTCAGGCAGTCAGCAAAAGCAATAAACAAAGAAGCTTTGCACAGCACATTTCCCTTTTCACTTAGCTGCTTACAAAGCCATCATTCAAAGATTGTTTTGGAAACATTTGTCTGACTCACTAAAATTGAAAGGAGGATTACTCAGGAACAGGAGGGAGGAGGAACAGCACAACATGCAGGGAAGAGATGGAGTGGCTTCTGAGACACATCAGTGCCTAGCCTATAGTGTTGTCTGCAGAGCAACAAACTGGCATTATTTAAAGAATTAAACCCAAAATTTAAGAAGACTGATGGTATGATTGGGGGTTTGATTAATATAAGTAGGTTTGCTGACAGAATTACAAACTAATCCTCTCATAGAAACTATAGCTCTGAAAGCATTTTACAAAGTAAGTAACATCTTTATCAGTACTTTATAAATGGGGTAACTCTGCCATGAGATAATCAAATCCTTATGTTATTCAGCAGGTCAATGATAGACTTCAAAATAAAAGTTAAACTCTGTAGATCCTCTATCAGTGATGAATTCATGGACTTTCTCCTTTAAAGAGATTAATGTGACAGCATTTAGAGAAGTTTAATTAACCTATCTATGGCTGGTTTGTTGTTTTGTTTGGTTGGTTTTTGTTTTGGTTTGGTATTTTTCCTGGGGTACATATTCAAGTACGGATTTAGAAGGGAATCAGGAGTTTTCTCTCTGAAAACAGGCCAAGATTTAGGAACAAAAGACAGCTGAAAGGGGAGTGTGTGTCTGGGAAAGAATTAGAGCTCCCTGTTCTCTATGGCCATCAGCTGAACAGGCAGGTTGCCAGAACAGGAGCACTGGGTTTGTGTTTGGGGGAATGGGATCCAGGTACTCTCTCTCTGAAGCAGAGGCTGTTGAGAATTTGTGCTTTGCAAAGCTGTTGCAAGAACAGCTCCATCTTTTTCCCCCTGTGACTGAATTACATTTGCAAGCCAGATTTGAGTTTATATGCACACAGAAGCAGAACCCACTCTTATACACAGAATACCACTAAAATTCTTATGTTGATTACCTTTTAAAACTCACAAACTCTTGACCCGTATCTAATGTGACAGCAAATCCTCTTCAGTTCTTGATAATCCTTTAAACCAATTGTTCTTGTAGAAAAGAGTTTGACAATTATATCGAAGAAATGACCTTTTCTTCACCCATTTTCCAAACCCATTTGTCATTGAGAGCTCTGCAAATCAGGCTGTATCAATCACATTACCCTACAATACATCATACCATGTACTAAGGCACGAATGATGTAAGCTAAGATTAGATGTCATAACCACACATATTACTGAGATACTTGAGAAGCCAAAAGACCACATTCTTATCTGATATGAAGTGACTTGTTAGGGGAGGTCTGGAGGATTTTCTCTCTGGGGAGAAACTACAAGATAGGATATGCTTTATCTGCCAACATTGCACCATTACATTTGATTATGTGTCATTTGCTGTATCATTACGTGTACATGTGTAACATGAGCGGACTCAACATGTATTCCTCTGTGGATGTTTGACTAGCCACGGAAAATCACCTCCTGTAAGAGCAGCTGGTGGAAGCTGAGCTAAAGAAAACTGAAATGGTGAGGTTTGGAAAAGAAAATGTTTCAAAAGTTGTCCCAAAGCTTTCAGTTTCTATTTGTTAATCTAATGCACATGTCTGGGTCTTGTTGGATCCCTCCTAAACTTGGGCATTCACAAACCATCAATCTCCAAAATGAGCATTTGTCCTTCCATTGTATCAGTTCAACCCTGCCTAAGGACAGTTTCCTGTGGCAGTCTCTGTATTTGTCATTGTATCTTTGTGTTCAAATGAAGAAGACACAGCATAACTTCCCTAGTAACTGCAAGCCTATGCCTGTGCTATATATATAGATAAGTTAAAGGCATTCCATACAGCTTGACAATACAATCTAACAACTGCATTCAGTATTCCCATTTAACAGGGAAGTCTAAAAAGGAATGAACTGGACCCAATTTCACCTCTTCACAGGGAGGGAAATGTATGTCATTTATACTGTCATATAAATGACAATAAAAAAATTAAGAATATAAGACTATAAAAATACAGCAAAAATTAGTTAAATATTATAATTACAAAATATAAATAAATAGGAACTACCTAATTTTTTCTCCATTTAAACTTTAAAACCAAGTTTATCTTTCACTGGAAAAATGTCCATTAAAATAGGCTGTAATATTATAAATACATGTATACAAAAGCCAAGTCATACTCTTTGATGTCTCCCATGAGATTTCTACCTAAATAAAATCAAAGTTCAGGTGTGATGGTTTTATTTCTTTGCATAATAAAATCTCTCATGATAATGCCTTATCATGAACCCTACAGAACTTCAGTCCAACAGATCAGGTAAGTTAACACACACCCAAACTTCTGGATTCTCATTCAAAATTATTCTCTGCATTTTTGTAATATGTTTAAAAGACAAATGGCTTCAGGTTAGTCAAAAGAGCCCAGGACATTTACAAATACTGCAAAGAAAAAATATGCCATTTCTGAAACGAAAATAAATTAGTCTTAGGTACTTAAAGCCCCACACTCACACAGTCAGACCAGGTTTCTTTACCGGCTTGGTCTCAGTTTTCCCATAGCAGAGTCTTGACATCCTGGTCCTCAAAATAATTTAATCATGGGGCAATAAAAAAATAACAGCTAGAGATGGGTGCCTCAGGGGAGAGAACCCCAAAAAGGAAACCCTGGGCTTTTATACCATCACAGTTTTGAAAATTTTACTAGCAGACTTTAAGGTTTAGAGAAGAATTCTCAGGGAAAAAAGAAAAAAAAAAAAAGAGGCCTACATTACATTTAACAAGGAGGAAAGGAAAAAAACCCATCTTTTGCAAAAGATGCAGTTCAATAAAAGTCAAATGTCAAATATATAAAGATTGACTGGTACCTGAAAAACAAGTGCTGTGAAGAGAAACCTGCTGTGCAAAGGAGGAAATAGAAAGCACAACTATGACACCTTGACCGTGTTTCAGAAGAAGTACTCACGAATATATTCACCTACCTTGTATTATAGCTCATCCAACAGTATATCTGTGTGTATGAGTAATAGACACACACATGGATGTATTTTTTCTGTGTGCCAAAACAGTAACACAAAAAAGAAACACCTCAGATCAATCTTCTAAAATTTCACCTTCTGAAACGTTTGAAGTTGGTCACATTCACCTATTAGTTCCAGTATTTAAATAAGGACTTATAGTAAGGATGTTCTTGTATGATATTGTAAATAATGAAAGTTTATAAATAGCTTTTGTTTCATTATTCTGTGTCTTCCAGTGACGTCCCAAGGATAAGTCAAATTATGAAAGTAATTGCAGACTGTAAAAAAAGAAATAATTAGCTTTGTAATAGAATACATTTCTGTAGCTTGTGTAGGTTGTTAGAGTCAATTTTTGCTTCATTAATCGAAGTAGTTATTCAGCATACATTAATTCAGTACCCAGAATTTAGAAGTGGCAAGCAATCAATAAAAATAAATGAATATTGATATGGCAGGACTTTCGCAATATTGTATTTATAGTGCCCCTGAAGCAAGTTAGATCCTACATTAAAAGATCAATAAACTAATGCAACGGCTAACGCCCTGCATCCAGAAAGTCGTGGTGTCAGGGGAGGAGAGGAAGGAAGCTAAATATTTATTCCTGTGTTTCTGATGAGATTGCAGAACTTCTGTAAGATTGAAACGAGGACATTGATTACCTTTCCAGTGGAGTCCAAGGCTACTTTGCCCTGTTCAGTCAACAGCCGTATATCAGCAAAGGGCCTCCTCTTCCCTCACGTTTCTGTGCTCCTCTAAGTTGTTCTCTGAAAGAGAAGGATAAAACATCCCATTTTTGTGCTGCAACGACACAGCTCTTTGAATTTGATATGCTGCTGAACTCACTGCTTTGTTTTCAAAATGGGAGAAAAATTATAATAAAATCAGGTTATTTTCACTGAAGTAAAAAAAAAACTTAGTCAATGAAAATACCAGGGTAAATGAGGTCATACAGAAACTTCAGTAGCAGTTGTCAAAAATCTTGTGGTCAAACATTTAATCAAATGCTAGATTTTATTTAATAAATATAATGTGTGGATACACATGCACGTATAAAATCCTTCTATTAATGTAAAATCGTATTTGACAGTCAGAATTTAAAAGTCAAAGTGTTTGTAGTGAGGGATTTTAGACTGTATTTATTAAAGAACATATGAAAAACAGTTAATGCCTTTAAAACCTATGACTTGATAATGCAACCTAAGAATGTGTGATTTGACAAAACCCACTTAATAAAAAAAAACTTCACTTTCAAATAACTTTCTTCACATTTTTCATTAGCTTAAATTTGGCTTGAAAACTGTCAAATTTGATATTTTACTACTGTAATTTACGTATTTTACTGCTGTATGTGAAAAGAGAATGAAAACAACACAGGAAAAAAGTTAACTATTTTTCATAAGATGGATATCCTTCTCAAGCTGTTTTTCAAAATGAGTGTTTCAATAATTTCACCCTCAACAAAACAAACATTCTCCCCAGAGTTTAAACCAGGCTCTTTAAATCAAAGTATTTTCAAACTTTTTTCCCCGAAAGTGTTTCAGCCTTGCCTACCCTACAGACCATCTGCCTTCACTTAGATTTTTATTTTCTATTCTGTTGTTTTGTCTTGAAAACTTGATTCCAAGGCTGACCTGTTCAATAAGGGTGACTTATTAAGGTAACAGTCTTGAGCATCATGAGCTGCCTTCCAGTCCACACTGTGAAGCTGGGTGAGAGATTTTAAAAGTATGTCACTACTACTAAAGCAGAAAAAGGTGTATCTGTGAGCTGGAGCACAACTAAACAACTACTGTGAGAACCTCTCCAATGGACAAGAGTCCTCACTCATCCCAGATGTTCAGGCTGATATTTGTAGAGAGTAATCCCAAAGGGCCAAGATATACAGAAGGGAAGGTGTATGCCTGCCTTTGACCCTGAAGCATTAAATCTGCAAACCCTTAAGGAATACACAGATTTGAAGATTTCACTGCACACTTCATTACACACTCAACAGCTTGGATTTTCTGCACCCTTGTGCTGCTTTTTAACCAGGATAGAGTATGCATGGCCTCTTATTATTTTACAGTATAAATTATTATTTGCAAAAACTATTTTATGGTTTTTCCTGTATATTCTCTGATTGTCAAGACAAGGCATGTACAGACAAACCAGCCATAAGGGAAGGACGGGTGCCAGCTTGTCAAAACAAAAACTCCTACTTTTTGAGAGAAGCAGTTTAGATAGCCCATGGGAGAAGAGCTGTACCTTACCTACAAGGAAGGATGGGAGCAGAGCTCTGCAACGCAACAGGAAAGATCCTTTCCCAGCTCTTTAATCTCTGAGGTTACAGCAGAAGCACAGGAATTCCACAGAAACTGGTTTTATGCTGCCAGGGTGCTACAGAGCCGTTGCTGTGGACATAAATCTATACCCCAAGGTAGAGCATGGTATAGAAAGTATTAAGCAAGATATTGCCACGTAACTAAAAATTACAATAATAAAAATATATATTGTATATGAACTTCTCAGGTGGCCTGGTTAGAAAATCTTAATCATCTCTAGCTATGTATTGATTTGCCAGCGCTACAGAGTTTAAATAGAATTTTTTAGGTAGCTATGATTTGAGATCACTCTTCATTGCTGGATTTGTTGGGTGTTTTTAAAGAATGAGAATTGAGATCACTGATCTCATCCTCTTGATTTTGAAGCATTGTAATCTGTCTTTAAAAAGGCCAGTTCTGTTTAAATGAAGGCTTTAAATTCATGTCTGGAAACAAAGTAATCAAAGGAATAGGAATACAGTCTTTGCTCAAACTTCCAATATTTTGACAAGATATAGGAGCTGATTCTGTTTCTAAATGGTGGTACTGAAATTAAGATTGATGAGTAAGTATTAGAAGAAAATAACTTCAAGTTACCTGCAATAGCATTTAATTGCATCATTTAAATTCTTAAGCATTTCAATTTTATATTCATTCAGGGTTTTGCATAATTAATTTGCAGATTTCCAGAATGCATTAGGATGAAACTTTTAAATGGATGGATGGTTATTAATGGATGATATAAATATATTATTCATTATTTTTGGTTGTCATTGTAAATTGCACCGAGTACTTCTGAATGAATATTAAATTCAACATCATCCCCTGAATTCAAAAGCAAAATGCATCCTCAGTAATAATTTGTTGAAATATAGAATTACTTCAGGTGTCATTTCATAATAAGTGCCCTGTAACAAAATGTTAACAACTGTTAATGTCACACTTTCCTTTTCTCAGGAAAATGGCAGGATCACCCAGGCAAAACTGAATTTCAAGTAGTCAACCTTTTCAAAGATGTCAACACTAGGCAGATCTGCTCTAGTTCAGAAATAAATTCTCAAAACTCTGATTACCTAGGCAATACTAACATTTGCAGGGCAACTGAATGCTATGTTAGAGAATAATTTCATTTATACCAAAAAAGTACCAGAGAACATATACAAGAAGATGGTCACAGAGAAATTCCATTAACTAAAGAAGAAAGGGGAAAAAGGTAGGAAAAAAAGGTAGTCTGAGCTAAGGAAAGCTCTTTCAAGAGCCGTTTCCAGCAGGTAACACAGATATTCATAAACAATTCTCATCTCTTTTTAATGCTTCAGTTCTTACCCTACGTTATTCAGTACTATTCTCTACAAAATAAATGAAGAAATAGCCTTAATAGAAGACTGGAACAATTTAAAAAAGCAATTAAAATCTAAGTTCTCTTTAAATGTAAGAAGAACTGGAAAATGTTGAAAACCATCATATTGACGGTATTTAGTGGTGAAGTGATGGGTAGCAGCAAACAACAAGACACTCAGTAAGTAGACTCTTATCTAGGGAATGTTTCCAAAAGGGTTGATGACACCATCTGCAAGGGAGAACTACAGTAGGAATACAGTGGCAAAAGTGCCTAAAAAAATCTCAGAGATTTCTACAAAGCTGCTTTTCAGTGTAGTCCGTTGCTTACAACTATTTGTAGTGGGTCTGGCTCGGGTGAAGTTAATTTTCTTCACAGCAGCCTCTGTGGTGCTGTGTTTTGGATTTGGGACCCAAACAGTGCTAACACACCAGTGCTTTGGCTGTTGCTGCACAGTGCTTACACAGCAGCAGTTTCTCTCACCTCCTCCCTGCTCAGTGAGTAGGCTGGGATGGCACAAGAAGCTGGGATGGCACGCAGTGGATGCAGATGGCCTGAACTGACCTAAGAGACATTCCTTACCTTATGACAGGCTCAAAAAGGAGAGCTTGGGGCACAGAGGAGGAAGTGGAGATGTTCACAGTTATGGTGTTCTGGTACCCCAAGTAATTCTTATGAGCACTGAGGCCCTGCTTTCAGTGCAGGAGCCAAGCATCCACCAGCTGATGGGAAGTATTGAATAAATCCCTTATTTTGCTCTGCTTATGCATGAAGCTTTGCCTCACTTACTAAATGGTCTCTACCTCAACCCATGAGTTCTCACTTCTGCTCATCCAATTCTCTCCCTATCTGGCTGAGGGGTGGGTGAGAGTGACTGGGTGGGGGCTTGGCTGCTGGCCAGGGTCAACCCACTACATTATTTCAACAGGAGATTTAAAAAAAAAAAATCTTTCATGTAATGAATGCCTAGAAAGAGAAGATGCATCTCTATGGCTGTTGGCAGGAACAAATCAGAGCTGCTGTCCCAAGGATCACATTGCATAAAAAGCATTTTGTTTGCTACCTTAATGAAGCAGATCTCTGTTTGCTATTATTGAATGAACACTTCCATTATTAGTACTACTCCCTCAGTAAATTCTAAGCTGCGGTTGAAAAGCCATGATACACACGTGTAATGAAGAAAGAGATCCTTCATAATTATTAACAGTCCTGGATGGACTAAATGGTCATCTCAAAAACAGCAAGACATTTCTCTGGTTGCCCTTGTTCTGCATAGAATGGCAGAGCTTGGTGTGGACTGTGCTATTATCCTAAAAAAACAATCTCTGATTTCATTTTAAGGCGTTTTACATTTGTTTTTTTCACATTCAGCTAAGCATGTTGTATTTGCAACAGATGTTATAATAAAAATTAGAAGAAAGGAAGAAACAGAGAAGTATTAAGTCTAATGTGATTCCCAGAGAGCAAAAAGCCCTTCAAAAAACCCTTTTCCTTTTCCTAGATTTTTGTCTTCACTTAAATAATCCAACATAACCTGAATCCATATAATCTAGTTCAGGTGGAACAAAACCTTGTAGTAATGGTCAGTAAGCATTACTACAGTTACTACAGCCTGAAGATCCAGGCCCTGCAGTTACACAGTATTTCTATGTTTGTTTAAAGGCAAATATACAGAAAGTGGAGAAAACACATCATACTCTAAAATATCTGATGTTTTCAGGCTTACAATTAAATGACAGGAGGACAATTATCCAAGTGGAAATTACCCCTTCCAGTACAGTAATGCAGAAAAGCAAGACAAGCACAGAAACGGAGTGGCAGTGCAAGAAATGTACTGACATGACTTACTTTTCAAAAGTGCTAATGAGAAAGTAAGAGGCTGATGCTGAACCAGGCTTCATAATCAAAAGTAATTTTCAAACCTTTTCTATCACACAGTCTGTAATGAATGGAGAATTATCCTTGTACTGCTAGTTTTATGCCCTCATTTTTCTCTTTTAGACTGTGGCCAAATATTTCCATGAGCTGTCACTTCCTAGCTGATTAATCAATCAGGCAGTTTTGCATCTACATAATCAAACTAAGTAGTCCTTCAGAGATTTTCTGTGTGAATGATGGCCTTGGTATTCTGGGGGCAGTGAAAGCCTTTTGCTCATGAGTGGCTTGGACTGCTTTAGCACAACTAAAACCACCATGGTATTTATTATATTTCTAGTTTTACTTCTTTACCTCCTTTTGGCACCATCTCTTACACTTTCCATGTCTATACTCCAGTCTTTTAACTGCATTTATGAGAAGAATTGAAGAAACAATGGGTCTCCCAAGCTTTACAGCTTCTCCTCTATAGGAATAACCAGGATAACCACTGGGCAGTAAAAAAATTCAGAAGCAGAACTGAAATGTCATTTATCTTACTCGAGTTCTTGTTAGGTTGCACACACTCAACATGTGATAGAGCAGAGCATTTTTCACTGAAGAAACCAATTCAAATGTATTCAGTAAAAAAATGTTATATGACTGACTATTAAGCAAATCCCAAAGTGAACTAGGTGATTAATTTTTTACTTGTTTTAACCCTTACAACTGTGAGCCCATTATGCTGACCAGCTTAATCTAAATTTCTTTCTTCTTTCACTTTTAGTAAGTCTGCTTTTGGAAGGCAAATATAAAATATAAATATCAATTTTCTTGTACTTTTAGGCTTTGTTGATGAGCTGTGTACTGGCCTAACAGTGCCAAACTCATTCTTGAAGCACTTGCTGCTGGCTTCCAGCATCTTGGCTACTCATGCAGTGATAATTTCTAATTCCTGCTCCTGAGGATTGATGACATTGCATTGATACAAAGCTGGAACACCCCAAATCCTATTCTATCTTATCCAAACGTGATTTTCTGATCCTTTAACTCAAGTTATGAGGTACATACTGAGTTGCCAAGCATGGAATTTTGGCCTACATGAGTGAGGAGGAGGTGATCTTAGTCATCACTGCTCTCCTGGTCTCTGGTGGGATGAACACTGCCTACGTCAGACCAATGAACTGCATTAGTCAGATTGATAAAATAACTTAAAACATATTTTGAGCTCACATCTATGAATTACTATTATAGCTGAATACAATTAAATTTTACACATCACACATTCTTTAGCTATCTAAAAGTTACCTCCTCCTGGCCTCAGTCCGCGATATCTGGCTGAAAAAAAGTTCCTACAGGTGGATTGGCCCTTAATTTTGAAGATATTTATTGAAGATAGTTATTGCTGCTCCTGTAAACGTGCAGTCCATTACAGCAGGCAATGAAGAAAAACATCTTTCTATGGTAGTAATCTCCAGTGAAAGCAATCTCACATAAAAGTTCATACTCTCCTACTGGATGCTTTAATGAAAAAAAATAAAGCAGCTGGAATGTAATCCCTAAATATTTCTTGATTCTTCAGAATAAAGAAAATCACAGAAGTGGAATGTGCTCTAGAGAAGCAGATCACTCCTCTCAGTAAGGCATTCTGGTAAAGGACAATTGTGCAGTTTCCATAGGAGCTGGCAGAAGTTTAACTTCCTCTTGAATGTTTATGAACTATCAGCCAGAAGTCACATCTTAAAAATCTATTGTTCAATGTGTAGCTGCTGATACCAAGCCAGGTGCTGACAAGGAACTGATTTAAATAACTCAACCTGACTCTAAACATATATCCAACAGAACCTATATTTTAAAATACATAAATTTCAAAAAAAATCTATTTTTATGTGAACAGTACAAAATATCACCTATATAAGGTATATATTATGGGGAAAAAAATCATTTTTATAGTCGATACAGACAAACTATTCAATGCTGTCAGTAAAGTGATGAATTTACTGATATCCTGAAACTGTGAAACCTCTCAAGTACAATGATAATTATTGGCTGACAGAGCTCTCTTAAAAGCCAAAATATATTAAGAAGGTACTACAATAAATGTAGAGACTCACCTATCAGTTACCTCATGAAAAAAAAGGAAAACCAAAATATTGACTGAGATTATCTGTTTCAGTGTACTCACTCTATTTTTTCTTAAAATCACAACTAAGGTTTTGTACATTGGATTTTGCTCTGAACTGCTTTAAGCCAGTTGATTACCTACAGAACTGGACCTTTTAGATTAAAATAAGAATGGAAGCTGAATGGTACAGGTTTAGTCATGGTCATGCTGCCCCTATTTTATTTTTAAGTTTTCCTTCTGTTGTGGCTATGTAATTTCCCCCCCTTTCTTTTTTATTTTCCCTTTAAGTGCCATTGCATCCATCATCCCTGCCTGATCTTCTAGGAACCTTTCAAGTATGGAACTGGAGCCAGAGAGCTGCTAAGGAGCTGAAGCCAATCTAGCTACAGTGAAGAGACAACTGTCTGGCTGCAGATGGACAGAACTGGCTGAGTTCCACCATCTCCACACACAGAATGCTGAAGGGTGAACAGGGAGCTGATTTTAGCAGCGATATTTCTCTAGAAAATAAAGTGGGACTGAAAACTGGATACTGGGAAAGGCAAAATCATGTACATGAAGTTTTGAAAATGCTGATAGCAGTTTTAGCTGTAAATCACTGCAACAAGTAGAGTTCTAGAAAAGAAGAGTTACCACAAGAGCCCAAAATCAAAGGAGTTCCATGTCTGCAGTGCCAAGGATCTCAGCAGCTCTGGAGATAAAAGAACTCTGTAATGCTAATTCTGCCCAGTAAAATTCCCTGTTCTCAGCTTAGTTGCAAAGTGATGAGACAAGAACAGTTTGGGCCAAGAACTGCAGTGCACAGACAAAACCAAGTGAATGCAGAGTAAATTCCAATAGTGCTGTAATTTACATTTTGCTGTGTCTCAGTGTGTTTTGAATAATCTATATAAAACCAAAACATGCACTCCAAATTGAAATAAAACCCAAACAAGCTGGAAACGGTACTGAGCAGACAATGGACAGGTCAGTGGGTCACTACTAAGGAGAAACATGAGACAAAAAAAAGACAAACCTCCCCTGAGCAGAAATGACCAATGGGAATTCCGAATTGAGCCTGTAATGGTTTATGTGTCGAGCAAATGTGTTCAGCACACTTACATTGCAGTACTACTGTTAATCTGCATAGGTAGCAGTGTAACAGTAAAACAGTTGCAAGGTAAGCCATCAAAGAAAACTTACCTCACCAGTACTTCCCAAAAAGCCTTTCCCGACTATGACTAAGAACATAGAATTCATGGACAGGATTTTGAAAGAATATTACAAAATAGTAAGGTAAGCAGAGGTAGACCAACTTCACAATGCATTAATTTTGATCAAGTTTTTCTTTTCTTCTGTTTTATTGTGTTCTCGTGAATAAAAAGCAGAATATTAAAGCCAGTTGTCAGTATAGGGCTGTTCTAATGGTTACTAAGAACCTGAGACAATCTTTGGGATTCAAACATAGCAGCCTCTATACCTAATATTCACATGATGAATTCTATAAATTCCCCTCTTTTTTTTTTTGTTTAAAAAATAAATAAAAAATGAGTTATTGCTATAGCTACAATCAACTTATGATACCTGAAATACACATTTGTTTAACTTGTGTTCATGTTCAATAAGATGCTCACAGTATTCTGTATTACAAATGTCATGACATTTTTCTCCTTTAACTAGATGAAAATCATACTCTTGGTCAGGTAACTTCTTCTCTGGGAACGGTTCAAATCTAGCAAGAACCTTTGAAAACATGCTGAAATTATTTAGAATGTTAGGTTAGCAACATGGAAGCCAAAAAAAAAAAAAAAGAGCTTTTCCCCCCCACACACATAGACCGCAGTAAACTTCTTTAAGAGTGAAGAATCACCACAGAGTTTTTAAAACAGGCTTGCTGCTTTAAAGTAGCAGCCTTGCCATCTGTTCTATAGTAATTAGGAATGCAAAGAGAACACATTTCACAGTTACATCAGCACATAGTAAGATTAAACTGTTTAAATGACTAGGTAAAAGCTTCCCATGCTCGTACAATGAGATTTCCAGCTGTGCTTCCCCTGTTCATGACATAAATAAGGAAAAATGATACCCTAGATAACATGAAAGTTTTAGAATTACTCAATACTTCCTTGTATTTGCTGTTATATACAATCATCTGTCAGTTTAAGTCTGCAGTTTGTTCATTTGAATCTGGACCAAAAATTCAGTGCGAGAGTCAAGAGAGGGTATAAAGAAGAACAGCTTAAATTTTTTTTGAATTAGAGCAACATCTTAAGGCAGAAGATCTAATCAATATATCATAACTACATTAGCTACTGGAAAGGAGTATGAACTACATTTACTGAGATAATACTTTCATTAATGTCTGGGAAATCTAACAGGTGCTGACGATTGCTTAAGTCAGAATATGACATCAAGCTAGTGATAATCACAAATGGAACTATTCCTTCAAAAAGTAAAACTGAACGTGCCTGAATCCACAAAAATCACAAATGCAGAATTTAATAGGTGAAATACAGAGAGATTTAAGAAGTAATAAAAAGTAAGAACAGTATTTAAATACATGAAAAACCGTGAGACTGAAATAAAAAGGATGCATTTGCCACACTGTGAGAGGAAAATGGGAGAAGAATTCCTTTTCTTTTATTAAAGAGGAGATATTGTGAGATTCTGCAACAAAGCAACACTGTCATTAGGCTTCCACAGACTGTTCTTGGTTTAGACTGAAAATGGGAACAACTATGGTTTAAGTAAGAAGATTTGTAAGCCATGTAAAAGAAAGTTTACAGAGTCCTCCAGACTTTGACTACACAGCAGTCATTAAACATGCAGGAGTTGGGTAATAGATGACGTATTTAAAAATGTATTGCTTAAATTACTTAGAAAAGCAAACACCGCATAAACTAGTAATCAGTGTTGGAGAGGCTGTGTCAGATTTGAAGTGAGGTGTCAGTTTTCACTGTTCCCTGTTTCTTCAGATTTTTAAAATAGCATTTCATATTTCATAAACATTACTTGCTTTATAGAAAAATCCTCAGAACAAACAGCCACACGCATAATATAAATCAATAATTTCTTTTATAGATTTCATACCAATGCTGCCGCAATAGTTCTCCGTTCTGTTTCAACAATCACCTGTAATAAGTAAAAAAAAGAAATGCAATCACAATTTCTCTATTGGACTTTGCAGAGCCTAAGTTTTGTTGTCGGTCTGTGTAAATATCCCCCAAACTTACTCGGAGAGAGAACCTAGTCGTGCAGGCCTAATATACAACTGGTCATCAACACTGAACCATTATTAGTTACTCCCCTGCTCTGTGTTTAGCTTGCTGTAGTTGTGATTTAGCTTAAACATCTTTCAGATGGGAGTGGTTGGGTAAGCAGGCCCAGTGGGGCTGCTCAGCCCTCCTAACTCAGCCCTTCACCAGCAAGCTGGTTTTAAACCACTTCTTGTGCTGATACCCACCTTCTAATAAAAACTGAGGAACACCAGAAGAGAGTCTCCTTAAATAATGTGCAAGCAGTGCACATTTGATGTCTCTCTTAAATGGGACTTCCTGAGGGTGTTTTATTCACTCAGGTGTGGGGCACTGAGGGAGGCACTTCATGGGAGGGGGGAGGACAGTCTGGGGTCCCTCAGGGCTGCCCACAAGGCTCTGAGGGGGCTTTTAGAACCAAATTAAAAAGAACCCCCAAATAAAAAAACCCTGCCAAACAGTGCACAACAACAACAAAAAAAAGAACGTGAGCAATGAAAATGAACTTGCCAAACACAGCTGAGCAAGCAATCACCTGGAGGCTTTACCAGTATCTCCTCACCTGGGTGTTGTTCCTGAGACAGGTCTGAGGGCAGAAATGTTGCCCACTGCCTTGCCACAGTTTTCTGCCCTTTTGAAGCCTTCTTTTCCCCCGCACCTCTTCTTGCCCTTTTAGAGCCTTCTTTCCCGCCTTTTTGGAACTTTCTTTGCCCCTCACGGCTTCCTGCTTTTTTAGAGCCTTTTTTTGCACCCTGCTCCCTCACACTTTCATGCCCTTTCTGTGCCTTCTTTGCTGCTCACACTTTCCCTCCCTTTTTAGAGGCTCTTTTTGCCCCATGCTCCCTCACAGCTTCCTTCCCTGTTGGAGTTCTCTTTGCCCCTCACCGCTTCCTCCCCTTTTAAAGGCTTCTTTGCCCCCGCCCCTCACAGTTTCCCGCCCTTTTTGGAGGCTTCATTACCCCGCTCCCTCAGAGCTGCCCTCGGCTGTGAGGGGACGGCGGGGCTCCCACTCCTCGGGGTTGCTTGGCGCTGTCCCGGCAGATTAGTGGGTCTATACTGGCTGGTAACGCTGTGTGGTTGGGAAGGGTTTCCTCCCACCTCTGCCTCAGGGAAGAAGAACTTCGTTTTTCAGGGGGGAAGCCCTCTGAGGGGCTGGTTGCAGCCGGTCCGTGCCGCCTCCCCTGCAGGCTGCTTCGCTTTCGGCTGTGGCACAGACTGAGGTGCAAGGCCACTCCTTTCCCTCTGCTTGTGGTTTTATATCTATCTGAATTTATATCTATCTGAATTTATATCTGAATTTATATCTGAATTTATATCTGAATTTATATCTGAATTTATATCTGAATTTATATCTGAATTTATATCTGAATTTATATCTGAATTGTCAGCCCCTGGGGATGGTGAAAAGATGCCGCTGAGCACTTGCGGGCAAGTGGGGGTTAACCCTATTCATTGCCCTCATGTGTAAGGCGTAATTATTTCCCTTATCTTATATATCCCCCCCACTCTACTTAATAAACCAACCAGCAGGGTGCTAATAAAAGAAACAGCTATTACTAAAGCATGTTTTTCTTTTAAGAGAAAACAAGTTCATGATTTTGGTTTTATCAGAACCCAACACCCCCTTAAGGGAGTGAGGTGGGTCTAAAGTAGCTATTAAAATTACGGCTTGGAAATGAAATTTGATTTAAAAAGCAGCAGCCCCATTGCTTTACAAAGGCATTTCAGTAAAATAGTGCTGTTTCAGGTCATTATTTGAGCTTTGTGTGCTGCTTTATTGAAGATAGCTACTTAAAATATTACAGATATGAAATGGAAAACTGTCTAACCTTTTATTATTTGATATTTGAACAACAAATACAGGCCCCTACAAGGTAAAAGATTTGCTTGCCCCATTGGTAAATGCTTATTATTTCTGTAGCACACTAGTACAATATTATTTTTATAACTTTTTCTTTTTTTTAACTCCACTTCATGCTACCTGGAAACTTGGGGAACATTCATGGTTTTCCCCTGTCTTCAAGGCCATCCAACAACCAGTTCCTTGGTGATGTATGATGTTCAGTGTTACTAGGCACTAATTTAGAAAATTCTGGCGTTTAATGCCTGGTTTTAAGATTCACTTGTGCAGAAATTTGTGAAGGAGCAAGGTAAATACATATAGCAATTGTGGTTTTTTTTGTCCAGTTCTCAGAAAGACCATCTTTGCTAACCATTAACATAGAAAGATGAAGAACTTGGAGGTGTGGCTTAATGCATTTTAATGTGTCTTCCACCATTAATAAATGAATGAATTAACAAATAAATTATTAAACTGTTGAAACAGGTTTTTTTGGGATGAAACTGCCTAAATCTTTGTCCTGAGTTCCTGGCATTCATGCAGCTCTTACTTCCTCTTACTTGTCTCCTGTGTGTGTTGATACAGTCATGTTCACACATACATCCTGAATTACAGGTAGGAACCAGTTTTGCAGGTTTTTCTCCTCAGTTTCACTCAAGTATGCAAGACTGTCCTCCCGAAGTGCTACAAAATGAAAGCTCTTTGAAATTTCTGTAAGAATATGATAAAATTGATTTTTTTTTTTGACAGCACTATTCCTTCTGATGATTAGAATTAGGCAGAGGAAAGCATGGTGTGCTTGTTGTGTTTGGGGTTTTTGCCTGTTCGTTTTGAAGTGGGCCCAGAAGTGTGAATTGATGCTCATTCACACAACTAATAATTAATAAAATAGTATTAATAGTATTAATGACTTCTAACACCATATGTGCTTCTGTGAATGGTTCTTATGACACCAGCTAGAAAACCCTCAGTGTTAATACTCACATTACATTGGTTTTATAGGATTGTTTCCTTATGAACATAGGGAAGCTGCCAATATTTGACAATATTTGTGTTTTGTTATGATTAGATCCAGGTTTTAGCACAAAACTCAGTAAATGTTGCCAAGATATTTGGCTCATATGATAGACTAGTATCGTTCAGCTTTTCCATATGCCTTTGTCTGTTGCAGCTTTTTTAACAAATGGGTTTAATTAGTGATAATAAAAGTGAGGCAAATTAGAATGCTCAGTTACTTGCTAGAAATATTCGTTTTGTTTAAGTGGAAGTATGAATTTGTGTGAAAAGTAGTCACACATACCTTTTCATTTCAGAGTGTCGTCAAACAGCTCAGTTGGCTTTTGAGGAGAATGCTGCTGTGTGCGTGTTCAAGCCGCCTTTTCCAACCTTTGCTGGCCTGCAGTTTTCAGAAAAGCACCTGAAATAGTAAGTTTGTCTCACAAAATTCAGAACAGCTGACCCCTGTGCTTTGATAAGAGTGTGTCCTGTGTTTGCTTCCTTGCTTTATTCATGTTGTGATTTTGTGTGTATAACAGCAATAAATTCACACTGCTACTGTAAAACTTCTCCAGTGGATACCAACTTCACCATTTTCAGGTAAATTCTTGGAAGGAGAGAATTGTTGTGTGTTTTTTTTTTTTGATTGCTCAGTTCTATGGGTAATAAAAGGTAATAAAAAAACCCTTGCTGTTGTTGGATACTGTTACTGCCATTACTGTTACTATGTTACTTGTGTGTCAAGGAGCATTTCTGTGACCGATAGGTAAATGTAACTTGTATATAGGTGTAAATCTAGAGATACTGGTAGACAGTCAAGATACTCTAAATTTTATGTGCTTACGGTTTGTAAACACTTAAATAGTTCCTATAACCATGTTTTTACTTGCTTATGAGCTACTTGGAACTTGCTGGAAATGGCAGAGTATAAGCATGCTAAGGGCAGGAATCACGGCAAGGCCACCATGTTAAAGGCTCTTCTACAGCTCATTCAGCAGTTACTTGCTTGTTTATTCTCTGCATAAATGTGTCAGATTTTGGTGCCCAAACTGGGCATTTAACTACAGGGTGTGGGTATGAAACTTTATGGGGAATGGTAGATTTCTCTGTAATGGTTGTGTGAATGCAGCCAACATATTGTGCTTGGTAAGATTCACCTCATGATTGTGTATCTCAGAAAGAAAATATGCCTTTGTAAGACTTCTTAGTCTTTCTAAATCTATATCTTATTAACGAATAGTGGATATTTTATTTACCCATTTATGTCTCTCCCTAAATCATTTTAAAATTGTTCAGGTGCATTTAAGCAAATCCAGACCCCTCTAGTTGATCTAGTAGAGAAATGGAGACCAATAAGTCAGTAATGGAAATTGAGTAATTTTCTAAGTTTAATATGTTTCAGCAGAACTACATCACATCATCCTGATTTGTGATGACTGATTTTTAAGTCTGAAGTAGACCAGGAAGAGGATATAATCTTTCATGCTTACAATTCTGTTATGTATTGATATTCTTTAAAGCTAAATATTCATTAAAGCTCCAAATTGAAAAGAATGCAGATTTTGTCTGTTTAGCAATTTTTCAGACAAAAGAGAAGACAGAAGAAGTTGAACATTAAGGTGGTGTTTATTTCATACTTTTCAACCAGTAGATAAGCTTTTTCACATTGATATTTGAAAGAAACTTGCTTTGGTGGATATGATCTATATTGAACAAATACAAAAGAAAATAATCTCTTTGCCAAGAAAATAAATTACATGACAGAAACTGAATCAACTCATTGTATTTTTCTTCTCCTAGCTGATGGATGCCTGACAGGACCTATATTCTCTCCTACCCACGACTGAAAAGCAAAAAAAAAAAAAAAAAAAAAAAAAAATTCTTTTCTTTCACAGCCAATATTTATTAAGATTATTCTTGTT